GCTACTTTATGAGAGCATCTTGTATTATGAAGGCCATTCATTTGATATAAACATAAAAAACATTTTTAATGTTTGTAGAACAATGTGAGTATACTTAATGCCATTAAACTGTATACTTAAATGGCTAAAATGGTAAATTGTGTTTTGTATATTTTATCTCAATAACATAATTAAAGAACATAACTAAAGCACTTTTTTACAAGCTGATTAACATAATTTTGAAAAATACGTTATTTCAGAATATTCTGGAAAACTTATCTTTTTTTTTCCTGTTTGTTTTTTTAAGTTTACTTCTTCCATGAGAGAGAGAGAAATAGATAAGCACCTCCCTCCCCAGGGTTTTCACATTGTAATACACCCCAGCCTGCTCCCAGCCTCAGCCAGCCTGGATCATAGGTGCGCATGCACGCGCCTGGAGCACATAGGGAGGTCCCAGATGGCAAACCCAGAGCCTTCCCATGTGGGTTTGCGCCGCAGTGCTGCACTACCACTGCACCACCATTTGGGCACATCGGTCTAGTTTTAGCTCACTTATTAACTTGCTTTGGTAACTGACAAGTCATTTAAATTTTCTCTGCCTCAATTTCCTCATTGGTAAACCAGGGATATTTATACCCTAACTTATGTACATCTGTGAAGAAGAAATAAGAGGGTGAAAATGATATGAAAACGACTTGCCTGTACTATGAAAAGATGGGTACTGTTATTATCAGAGGCAGAAGGTTCAATACTGTGTAAATATTTTAATATGGGTTTATAAGAGAACTAGTGATTTATTTTAGATATTAATTAAAAAGCAGTTTTGGTAGCCATCCCGCTAAGCCTCTCCTTCCCCAGAACAGTGTAAGTTATCAATCACTGTAAAGAAGAGGTTAGGGCCCAGCTCTGTGGTGCGGCAGTATACACTGTTTAGTGAAGCGAGACCTCACTTGGTGACTACGTTGTGACCAGACTCCGCTGAGGGTGTTCATCTCTTGAATACTGAACTGAAGCATTCATGCTAGTAGTCTCTCCTTTTTTCAGTTTTGCTTTTCATGATTTCTGTTACCATGGTCAACTGTGGTCTAAAATAGGTTGAGTATGTGACAATACAGTAACATATTTTAAGAGAGGAAGAAAGAGACCACTGCTACCAAAGAGACCAATATTACCAAAGTATATTGTTATAATTGTTCTATTTTATTAGTAGTATAGTCAATCTCTTATTGTAGCTAACATATAAATTAAACTTTATCAAAGGTACTGATTTATAGGAAAAGATATAGAGAGAGTTTAGTATCACCCATGGTTTCACACACACACTAGGGTTCTGGAATCCTGGTGAATAAAGAGGGACAACTATGCTGTTAAAGTGACAGTGACACAAAGTTGATCAAGTGTAACAAGCACCATCATAAACTATTTTTATATTTTTACAAAGTAAAATATAGATGATCTTAAGATGAATGATAAAAGAAAAATAATCTAATAGGTAAAAGCCTTTTATGTAAGCATAGATTTGATTGGAATTTTATTTTTCCTAATTCAACAGGATCATAGAAAAAAAGAGGACTTTAAAAATTTTATATTTTCTGACAAGAATAATGAATGCGTCCTTGATTAGTGTCATTTTGTTTCAATCACTTCCTAGGATTGATTGAAGGAGCCCTAGTATATCCAAGTAGTTTGAAAACAACCAACCTACATCATACTGCTTCCAGGAAGCCAATTGCGAGTCTCCTAGTAGGTCTGGGCAATGAAAGAGAGACTGGGGCACAAGAAAACTACTTTGTTGTTATTCGTACCACTGGGACATGGTGGTATATACCACACCACTGTAATCTTAGCTACATAGGAGGCCGATGTCAGAGGTAAATCTGGATTCAGGAATTTTGAGTTTCAGAGTGTTCTGTAGATTGAATATCCACGAACATTATTACATTCCTTGCCTACCAGTTTCTCTAAGGAGAGCTACAGTAGCACAGTTCAGAAATGGAGATGATAAACAGCACTATTGTAGTAATACTATGTGAAAAAGAAAACATTCAATTCTTTCTTCTTTGTCCTTTAGGTCTAGTCAATGTGGAATAAGACTTGTAAGAAAGGAGAATAAATGCAAGAGGTTTGGAACACAAAATCTTTCCAGAGACACCCTGCTTAAACTCTTTGAATTCAAAAACGGACAAAGTACTGTCACTTTAATATGTACTCAGTATTTATGATGTGCCAGTGACTATTCTAAGAGCTTTATATTCATCAACATACTTAATCTTACAAAATTCCTAAAATTTGAGTACTATTATTTTCTAGTAATCTAATGAGAAAAGTGAATTATGGGAATAATTTGCCAGAGGTAACACATTTAATTAGTGGTAAAGCCATGTTTTCAGTAGAGATAATGTAACTGGATAGACTGTGCTCTTAAAATATAGTATCAATATTTTTCCTCCCTTGGCCAGACTTTGGTTTTTCAGCCTGACAATTCATTAGAATGCTTCTTGGGACGTTAAAGATAAAATAATGGAAAGCAGGTGGGGTTCTGGGCACTCTATCCAACAAAGCAATCTTAGCACTTTTGTTTAGATATTGTTTATATAATAGAATTTTCCAAGAAATAACTAAAGAAACATCTTGATGCTAAAAAGCAAAAAGATTGAAAATCATGATGTCTTGACTATAATCTTCATAGGTTATATGTCCAAAAATATCTCACAATTGCTATTAAATGTTAAATTGAAACCATATGGCAATACCAAATTCTTTGGAAAAAGCTAATATTAATTTACACTATCATGTTAGAGAAAATCTTGAGTATCACCATAATTAAATAATTACAGTAATAATGTTAAATTACCTTCAGATTAGTGCTTTTTAGTTTTTAATAATGGGTAAGCAAAAGATAGCACTATCTTAAAAGACTACTGCTGGGCTACATGAACTCACTCTCATATTAAAAAAATAGGTATGCTTTTCACATTTAAGGTATATTAATAATTTACTACCTGATGTACTAAAATGACTACTTATACTTCTTAGAATGATTGAATTAACATAAAAGGTCACATTAGAATTCAAGTTATTGGTAAAAATGTTATAACATTTTTTGAACGTCAAAAATTGTCTTCATTCCAAAAAAGTTATGAAATAACTTGAAAACAGTGTTTAAAAAATCTATTAGTTATCTATTACCCTTTTCATCTGTGGGTCTACAAATGTCTATGACTGATCTCAAAACAGAGGATACTGCCACCATTTTGTATTTCCTATTACAGTAAATTTGCAGTTTTAGAGTTGTCAATTATGAATCATAGCTTTAAGAAAACAAAACCAAAGTCCTAGTTCTTCTAATTCTGGATTTGGATTAAAAGCCCAAAGCAGCAAAAAATAAAAGCTCATTTTTCTCTTCTCCAACTTATATAAAAATTTTTATTGGGGGCAGCAGGTGGTGTGGTGGTTAAAGTGATGGACTCTCATGTGGCTGACTATAGTTCGAGACCTGGACCTGGAAGCTTGAAACTCAGGCCGTGTGTGTGTGTGTGTGTGTGTGTGTGGGTGTTTGTGTATTTGTGTGTATACATGCCCCAAATCCCAAGATGAGAATGGAGAAGGAATTACAGCGTGGCTATCCCCCCGGGAGATGATTTCTCACTTTTTGTCTCTGGTGAGCTCACACGTCCTATAGCAAAAAAAATCTCAAAACAATTTTTTTTTTTTAAATTTCAAGATAATATAGTTTCTAACTAAAATAAGATACGGATACAAAATAATAATTCTTAAAATACTCATTGAAATTTTCATCAAAATTTCTTATGATTATTACCACAAATCATCATCTCATGGCTATGTCTCAACTGAAATGGAACATGTGACAGTGAAATATATTAAAAGAGAGGATCGGTAATAGACCTACCAATTGTTAACTGATTTCCATTTTTGCTTTGTCTGTTCAAAACATAACAAAGTTTCTCACACCTCAGATAAAACGTATAAGAAAGCTAAACAAATCCTAAGCCTAATTCAATATAATTGGTTAGAAGATTTAAGTTTAATATTCATTTTTGAGAACATGCAGTTAACCACAAGGAGTTAATACTAAGCAGGCAAATAAAAGATACAGAAAACTAGAATGTAATATTGCCTTAGAAGGAATTTAGTCTAAACAGGGGTGCTCCCATGGATAATTAGCATAAACATTAACACTTTCTCTCCCAACAGACTTAAATTTATAATGCCTAGTTGTTAAATTATTTTTCTAATGTTTATAAAAAAGAACCAAGATTGGTTTTTCTATACTAGAATATTTTTTGAGAAGAGAAAGAAACTAAAACTAATATCAAGCCTCTAGAACCAAAGTAATCTGATATAATCTTCTCCTATTTTGGGCTTTTTTAAACACAGAATTTTATCTATAAAAGGGAATGAAATTATCAAAACTAATTTTGTACCTAGCAAAAAAATTAAATATCAATCTGTCTCTTATTACTCAGAATCAAAGACATGAGTGTTTAACAAGTTAAATTGAAAGAGGATAGACCAGAACAGAAAAAGGGAAGCTCATGAGAGAAAAAGGTTGAAAAAAAGGGGCAGTAATCTCTTATATCCCAAAATTATAAGAACTCTAAGTGAAAGTGATATGTTAAAATACATATTCAAAATTTTTCCATTCAAAAAATTCCTTAATTTCCCATTATAAAACCAAACTGAAACAAAAGACATACTTAAAAAGGATAAATCCTAATAGTCTTCTTTTTCTTGACAGTCTTTAAGTTTTCTGTTTACGACTATAGCTTTGTATAAAGTGATGGATGGTTACTTATTCTTCTATAATAAGGTAAACAACATCACGTGGAACATGGTAATATTCTACTACATAATAAATGAGTCTGACGTAACACTTAAAACTTCCACAAAAATATAAAGTCTCAAAACACTATATAATGTGCATGTTCTGATATGAGAAGCCTAACTCATACCACTGAGTTCCATGACACCCAAGCTTTGCTTTGTTGAAAAAGACTTACCTGAATAGCTGAGTTCATGAAACAGGTATTTCCCAAGTTACTCAGGCCACAGAGGCCTGGCTGTTCATTGTTTCTTCCAGGTTCTAAATAATCATAGTTCTTATAAGCAGTATATGATGGGAGACAGTAATTTGAGTTTTTCGGACTGGAAGAAAAAAAATTTCATAATGCTGTCAAGTATATCACAATATAGTTATAATGAACTGGCTACTTTAAGCTTGTTTATGAGATAGGTGGTCAATCATTACATTTTCTTTATAAAGTACTCAAGTGCTTTTTAAGATATGAACCTCAAAGGACAAAAATCCCTTTAATCAAAAAACTCCTTAACGAACAAAATCACTGCATCATATAGCACACCAACCAATACAGATCACTATTATTATCTTTTTACTCTTGATGTACTGGAGCAGCTTCAGCACTTAGTCCATTCTTCATTGCACCATCAAATTTAAAACATTCAGATTTTATACACCACCCATATTAATAAATTATCTCATTTATATCCTTTTCATACCATGTTAATATAACATGTAACAGCAGGTACAGGAAGAGTTGTGCTTTGGTTATAGGTGATAGGAGAGATTTCCATGGCCACTGTAATACCACTTTTAAGAAAATTCTATTTATACCTTCTATGCTAGACCAACAAAATTTAGTACTCAAATGTAGAAAAAAGCCTAGGTGATCAGAAATGTAAAAATGATTCCAAGCAAATATGTTTCACTTTGAAACATATTTTTTTTCTAGTTTGTTAGAATAATGTATATTATTTAACTAGATAAATATAACCTCAGGATAATTTGTGCTATCAGTGTAATAAATGTTACAAAAAAGTGTATAATAATAACTTAGAAACACAGTAAGCTTAGCAGACACTATGAAATCAGTACACAAGCTACTATGGCTCTTCGCATATAAAAAAATAATTTTATAGAAAAAGATTCTTCTCTATTTTTAATAGCTTATAAAATATTTATGGTGAATATTTTGGATATAATTTGAGAGTATAATTTCAAACATCATTATTTCATTAATTAGAATAAATCTGTATGAAAATTAAGGCCATTTGCTGAAAGCAAATATGATGTAACTTTTAGTTTTACAGACATACATGATGAATTAGTACTCTGATCATCTTAATTGGCAAAATGTATTTCTAATATTTAAGAAAAATTTTTCCAATAATTTTAAATATTTATTTTAAATATTCTACATACTATAAACTCTTACTTTATTATTACAATGGCTAAGTAAACTATCCTACTTACTGCCTGTTCTAACAAAGTCTTTAGTAAATACATATACACATACAACCTAAGCCAAACAGGTAAAACAAACTACATCAACATAAAAGTACACACACAATGCTAGCCAACTAATATTTTTGCATATTTGAAAACACATTTTCTCTCTCACAAACTAAAGAGACTAACTCTCAAAAACCAATCCACTGCAAGATTAAACAAAGATAGCAGGGCCTAGGACCAGCAGATGGCATAATGGTTATATTGTTGGACTCTCTCATGGTGGAGCCTGCTTCTAGTCCTGGACCCAGTAGTTTATAACTCATGCCAGGCATGCATGCCCAAAATCCTAAGAGGAGAATGGAGGAGAAGGGATCGTGACTTGGCTATCTCTCCTAGGGGGAGGGTAGGGTAATTTCCCACTTTCTGTATTTCTGTCTCTGTGACAAGTGCACATGCCCTATAACAAAAATCTCTCCTAAAAAAAAAAAAAAAAAAAGGAGAAAAAAATGATAGCAGGGCCCATAGGAATATAACAATGTGATTCATTCAAATTCAGAACAGCTAAATTTTCAGCTATTTATTTATTGTAAACTCAAACTATAAAGTAAAAAATAGATTTACAAATTAAACAGAATTTTTTTCAGATAACTAGCCTTCTGATTCATACATTATGCTTCTAGTAATTAATAAAAGTGCAAGGCCCCACTAGCAACTCAATAAATTTTCACAGTGCTTGGATTACTGATTCTAATTTTATTTTTTCTTTTATTACTGTAAGTAGTGCTAAAAATCAAAGTCATCTATATATTAAAAAAAAAAAAATGTCAGTTCTGCATTTTCATTCCCTTCCCCCCAATTGCCAAAAGGCATGTGCACTTGCCAGAGACAGAAAGAGAGAGAGAGAAAGCACTCTGCGATGAGGCATAGTCATGCCACAATCTCTTCATTTCTCCATCTTGTTGGGGCTTGGGGAGTGCATTCACTTGCACTCCTTTGTGTTTCTCAAGCTGCCAAGCTGTGGGATTTGAAAGGTGTGACTGACCATGTGGAATCTGGCTCCCTTAACCACTAGGCCACAGGGCTAGCCCAAGACCTGCATTTGTACACATAAGAGAAGGAAAAACCCAACTTATTCTGGCTGTAAAATTAAAATGTAAGCAGTCAGAACACACAGGCAAAATATGCCCAAATGCATGTTGATGCCCCCCCCAACACATGCACGCATGTGCACACACACACACACGAAAAGACTAAAGGCACATTTACATGCTCATTCCGTAAGTATATATTCAGATATCTGTCTCTCCCCACATGTAACACAAATGGATGCTTGATGCTCTACTCTTCTTTGCAGCAACATGATGAAATGGATGAGATAAAAATTCCTAATTACTGAGAGATGAACAAAAATGTTATTTGCAAAGTGATTTAAAAAAAAAATCAGAGTCCTGGGGCCAGTAGGTGGCATGGTGGTTAAGGCGCTGGACTCCCACATGGGTGACCATGGTTTGAGTCCTGGACTTGGAGGCTTGCTATCTCACCTCCCAGACCCCATCCCCTCTGATGAGTGTATGTGCCATGTAACAAATTTTTATAAGTAAAAATAAATTAAATTAAATAAATAATTCTTTTTTTAAAAAAATCTGAGTCCTTAAATGGTATCTACATTTTAAATAACAAAGTAAGTATAAATCTTGCCCAGAATACTGAGACTGTCTAGATGTTCAATGATAAAGAAAATCAATGAATTGAAAATATTTTCATTATTTTAGTTATTTGTAATCTACATTATGCACGTTCTTAATCAAATATTAAAGTTTAATTTTGTTACAAAAAATATCAAAGCTAGCAGTTGTTTATACACTTCAACAAAATACATGGACGCTTAGGCCCTAAAGATAGATTCTGTTATTTTTCATGAGTTACTGTTAATTTTTTCCTAAATATCTTAAGCTAGTCATCATCTTTTAAGGCTATGTTACTTTGTAAAAATAATAAATGTACAGTAACATCAATGGGAATTTTAAACTAGAGTAGATTACTTCTGTGTTGTAAATCTATCCTTGTTAATGAAGGTACATTAAAAATGTGACAACTTTTTGAAAATTTAATCTTTCTTTTTGAAAAATTTTGCCAGAGAGCATCTGTGTATGCTGGAGAGAGACAGAGAGAAAAGGAAAGTGAGAAAGCAACCTTCTCAACCACCACCATGGGCAATGGTCACATCACAATCCTTCAGTTCTCCCTCTTTTTGGGATTTTGGGCATGCATGCACATATGCCCAGTGTGCTTCTCATACCACTGGGTCTGGGATGCAAGCCACCTTAACCTCCATGCCACTGGTGGGCCTGTAAACCTTATCTTTCTATAAACATTTCAGATAGACATTTCAATTAGCACTAACATCTGACACTACAAACTCCATAAAAATAGAATTTAATCATCCTAACTATAATTATGCTGACTTTGTAGTTAATGAAATGATGCTTCCAGCTAAGTAATTCACTCTGGTGCTCTCTAAAACCCACAGTTCCTGTTCATGGCTTCATCTCATAAAGGGAATCATATACATTTCAAATAAGAGACTTAAATTAACAAAAAACCAGAAATGTGTTCTGAAGTGAAATGTCAAAATTGAGGCAATAATACATTAGAAGAATTTTTTAAAGGTAAAGTTAGTAACATATCAAAATAACACAGTAGGGCATTAAAATGCAAATGTTACAGAGCTCACTAGAGAAAGAATTTGGTAGAAATTTATAAATGTACTTACAGTATAATTGAGACAAAAACAAATACCCTATGATTAATAGTTAAAATTATTATACCAAATAAACAAACTATATTCCAGCAATGGAATCTTTAGAATACTAGTTTAAAATGAAAAGTTTATTAAACTTAAATAAAAGAATTTCAAATATACTTTGTTTTTACCTTTGTAACAACATCCTTTATTTCTGTAAATGAAAATTTTATGATTTAGCAATGTTTCCATATAAAAATGTTCAAGTCTTAAGTTTGTAGATAACTAGTGATTTTATAATTTATAATTGTAGCATACTTCCATATACATGAATGTATGTATGTATGTGTGTGTGTGTGTATATATATATAAATATATATGTTTATTTATTTGGAGAGGTTTCTGCTATAGGGTGCATGCGTTCACCAGAAAGACAGAGAGAGAGAGAGAGAGAGAGAGAGAGAGAGAGAGAGAGACACAAAGCAAGAAATCCCCCCAGGAGGATGGCCAAGCAGCAATCCCTTCTCCTCCATTCTTCTCTCAGGATCTCGGGCACACACGCACATGCGCTCGGTGTGAGTTTTAAGCCACCGAGTTGGGGACTCGAACTGTGGTTGACTACATGGGAGTCCAACGACATAGCCATTATGCCAACTGCTGGTCCCCACATACATAAAATTTTAAAAAACCACCTAATCTAAGAGGGTCATTATCTCATTTAACTGGTTTTAATGAAAAGAACTATGTTATTTTCATCTTAAGTATTAAGCTGTTACTTATTTCCTCAAGTTGAAAAGAAATTCAAGAAGTAAGTTTTATATAAGATAACTGTTTAGATAAATATGATATTCATTCAATTTTTAAAAAAGAACTATTTCATTTATTATCATTTAATTTGATCAGAGACAGAGAGAGAGAAAAGGCAAGTAGGAAAGCATGCCTTCAGGTCTGGGACTCAAACTGTGGTTTACTATGTGGGAGTCCAGTGCCTTAACCACCATGCCACCTGCCGGTCCCACCATTTATTCAATTTTTATGGGTAAAAACAACAAAAAAAAGATGTATTTTATGAATGTTTAAATTCTCTTCCTTAGTAGAAAGGTAATCCATACATAAAATTTACTTTTAAGCTCTAAATGATCATTGAATGATCACTGAATGTATCTCAGTAGCTATTTGCTATTAGAATTTCTTAAAATAAAAGGTAAATTTTAGTATTTGAATTAGATACCTGTGATAGCTAAAAATAAAATCTAAGTCATAGGACTACAAGCATTAAAATTATGTTCTAAAACTGGACTTCAATTTCTCTCAACAGTTTCTGCAGTCAGAGGTTTTGAATTATATGGTCATACTCTTTCTGAGAGGAAAAATTACACAAAAACAGAAACACACCAGAGCACATATACTACATGTGGTGACTTTAGTCAAAATACCAGTCTATATATGGTCTAAATATACTGTCAAAAATATCTCCAAAGGATAACTATAGATACCCATTGTATCTATAAATAACTTCTTTTATAGTAAATATTGAAGCTGCAACTGGTAGAGGTACAAGTAATATTTTCTCTTCTACAGAGAATACTTTTGATAAAAATAATTTAAAACATATAAAATACAAACAGGATTACAGGGGGATAATATTTTTGAATTCTTTTTGCCTCAGAACATATACTGTTTAAAATAGAACATAATACATTGAAATTTTGGATAATTAATGAGCCTTCGAATTTCACTCTTACCTATAATGTAATGTCATTACACAATGCATATATCTTTTTATGAATTACTGAAATAAGGGCTTATATGGCAAATTCTTCTAGAAAAGTTTTACTAATACTACAATATCTCAAAGAGAATCTTTTTAAGAATACATATATATCAGTGTTTAATTTTTCTCCATGTAATTGAGGTAGCAGAGGTGAATACAGTTTTATTTTAATCATTTTAAATCCTGTATCTGTAATTAGTGATAAATTTGAACATTAAAATACTTTTATTTAATTCCTTTTGTTTTTACTGCTCAGTTATGTCATTTGTCAATTTTTCTAAGTACCTTGAAAATTTCTCAATAATTTTTGTAAGTTTGATATATTAAGATTAATTATGCTTTATCACTTGAAGCAAGTATTTTTGTTTTCATTAACTTGCCTTTTAAAAAGTTTTTAAAAAATTAATTACGATTTTTTTTTCCATAGGGCATGTATGCTCGCTGGAGAGAGAGAAAGAGAGGGGGAAAGTGAGGAATCACCACCCATGGGGAGATGGTCACACCACAATTCCTTCTCCTCTATCCTAGAATTTTGGACATGCATGCACATGTGCCCAGCATGAATTTTAAGCCACCTGATCTGGACTTGAACTGCAGTTGGCCATGTGTAGGACCAGCACCTTAACCACCACACTACCTGCTGGCCCCTACCTGCCTTTTAAAAATATATCTGACAATTCTCTTGGATTTAAAGTTCTAGTGCAAAATTCTCCAGAGGGATCAAATTTACTTAAAAATATATCCTGAATAATCTGCCCCATTCCTCCCCATTGGTTTTAGAATGCTTTCTAATCTTGGTAAGTGTGTTTTTTAATACACAAAGGTCCAGACTGTCGGTACTATGCTATCTGAATTTTTATATGTATGGGTTCATAATACGGTGTTTGAACTTTTATACATCTTTACAATAGGTTGTGATATTCAATAGGATTGATTCTCTCATTTTCCTTATCAAATTTACTTTTTCTATTTTATCTATTGATAATGTATATGTATGTAAGAATTATTTTATCAAGTTCTCCCTCAAAATAAAAATTTTAAGGGAAAAATAATTAAACATATAAATCTGATTACTGGTGTTACTTTAAAGATTATCCACAGAAGAGCTATAATCTTTCTGCATTTAATCATTAGATAATCAGACACCATTTATGAATTGAACACAGTGCATATATTTATCTAGATACTTTTCATCCAGTACAGAAACCACAATATATGTTTCTAACAACTAAATAAAAAGAATCAGATCTGGATAAAAGTTCTTTCAAAAATTGGATTGGACTAATTACAAATAATAAAGGCTTTCTTTTTATCTTTTTTAAAAAATTACTTATTTAATTCCATTTGCTGTTATTATTTTTAAATTTGACTAGAGAGACAGAGAGAGAAAGGGAAAGCAAGATCCCAGGTCCAGGAGACTCGAACCATGGTCAGGCCTGTGGGAATCAGTGCCTTTAGGCACCACGCCACCTGCTGGCCACTCTTTTTTATCTTTTAAAATAATATAAATATGACAATTTTTAAGGCAAAACACCCAGAGTCAAATGTTATAATGAAATCCAGTAAATTCTGTTTTATTTTTATATATTTTTATTGGCTGCCAGAGGATGTGTGCTCACCAGAGAAATATGGGAAGACAGAGGGAAGGGGGGAATTACTGTCCAATAGGATGTGGTCAAAATGCAATCCATTCTACTCCATTTCACCATCCTCTCAGGATGTTGAACATGCACACATACACACCTGAGTGTTTTTCAAACTGCCAGGTCCAGGGTTCCTATAGTGCTGTTGACCACGTGGGAATTGGCTCCCTTAACCACTAGGCTACAGGGCTGGCCAAACCAAAGTGACTTTCAGTGCTTCTTGCTTATAGCAATGTAACAGACACTTCACCTAATTTCCAGAGTTTCAGGATCATCAATTTTATTTACCATGGGGCAAGGAAACGGTTTCCTTGAACTTCTTTAAGAAAAATTGATTGCCTTTTTCATAAACATAAAAATGTGTGTATGCTTTCAGGCTGAGGATCACTGACATATACTTTAAAAAAAGCTAGTTAACTTTTATTTATTATTGTTATTTTAAAAATTTGCTATAGGGCACATGTGTTCACCAGAGACAGAGAAGGAAAGTGAGAAAGCAAGCCACCAGGTCAGGACTTGAACCATGGTCGGCAATGTGGGAGTCAGTGCCTTCACCACCATGTCAACTGCTGGCCCCAATATACACTTTTAATAAATATTTTACTACAGATAGATTAGATATCTAGCTATATGCAGTTTATATTCTTCCTACAATCCTGAGTTCTAAAAAAAAAAATCTATGTATTTTTCAAATATTATTTTTTAGAAATTAAATTTCTGGAAGTGCTTTTTATCTCAATAAACTATTGAAGTATATGTATCAAATCAAGTAGTTTATAACTGTGCTTTCTTTCTATGAAACTACTCATGAAAGAACCAGTAATTTAAAAGAAAACCAATTTAATGCAGTAAAATTTTTATCCTGAGTTTTAGATACAAGAGATTTTTCGCAACCACAGAAGGGTGATCAATTAAACAATAGTTTTTAAGATTCAGTGCTTACTTTCTGTTGTTGATGTTGTTATAATTATTTGATAGAGATGAAGGAGAGATCTTTGGTAAAGCTGAAAAATTGGATGCACCTGGGGACCTTTAAAAATATGAAAATGTTAAATTAGATAAAAAATGAATTTAGAAATTAATTATGAAATAAAGAAAAGAAATAACAGATGATATGTTTGTAGTAAATGAGTTCTGAAAAACAAAATTTATGAGCAAAACCACTAAATATCCTTTGGTTTCCAATATCCAATGTATTTCTCCTTATAAAATATAATGGATATACAGGGAATTACTTTCGAATAAAATTTATCAAATGAAATATGCAACTTGCTTTTATTCCTGCAAATCTACTAATTTAACATATGCATTTCTGTGTTTAGGTAACCGTTACTAACATTTTATACTCAATTTCCTTAAATCAATGAAATTGAAATACTCCATTTTTTTCTTAGTAGGTACCACGCACTCTAATTACGCACAACCCTGACGAACAGGTTAGAGAATGTAACCAGTGACTAAACATTTAAGGCAATGGGGATAGAATGAAATAAGAGAATACTAAACAATCTCAAGAAGTAATATCTAGCTAATGTAATCTCTGGAAAAACTGAAAAGATATAAATCCAGCTATGTAATATCAACCTTACCAATTCAAAATCTTTTGGAGAAATTTTAATTGCTACTGGCTTGTAATCAACAAGTATGATTTAAATGATTTATAATTAATAAATCTATTATATAAGAAGGTCTCTGAAGGATTTAATTTTCCTTGTAATTTTGCAAAAAATTTTTATATACTAGGCAATGTCTAGTTCATGGACTATAAAAAGCTAGAATTTAGACCAGGTAGCTCACTCATCATAAATTCTGACTCAATTTAGTAATAAGTTTTTAAAATTGTGTTTTATTTCCTCTACTCACATGCCAATGAACAATGAAACAGGCAGAAAATGATAATCTACAAAACCTGCTTTTAGGTCATTTGTATTTAGCTAAATATGTGTTTTTATAATGGGTTATATAGAATAAATGGTGGTTAATATGATTTTTTAAATATAAGAAAAATTAACTTTTGAAGTTTTATAAATTATTAAATCTTAGTAAAAATGTTTTTCTTTTGAAGGAAGTTCTCTTTACTGATGACAGGTTACAGTAAGTAAGACTTCTATTTAGGTGCCTTCTGACCAAAGTCTCCTTAAGAAGATTTTATTTTATGTAAGCTCAGAACACAAAAAACAAACCAACCAAATTTTAATACAGAATAACACAGAGAATATATTTTAAAAGTAATTGTATTAATTCTGATACTTTTAGAGACTAGTTTAAAAATGTTAATAGAAATACAAAAATAACCTGGCATTTTTGCCTTCAAATTAAGAATTCTAAATTAGGGGGGGAAAATCTAAATTGATTAAAGGCAGTGTTATAACAAGTTTTTTCAAAATATCATAAATTACAACTTTTTAGGAGTACATATATAAATCAAAACGTTCCCCATAAATGAATGCAAAAAAAGGACATTGACAATCATTTTATATAATATATATATACACACATATACATATATATATATATCTCAGAAGAAAAAAGAAAACTAAAGCTAGTAGAGCAAAAATTGAAGGTACACATCATAATATGGTGTTCTTTGTTGAAAATGACACGGTAATATCCCTGAAAATATGTATGAAATATTTATTTATTTATATACACACAAACGCACATGAGGACACACACTTTTTTTCCTTTTCTGCCAATCTGTGGCAGTTTTTATTCTTCATTAGCAACTCTACCTAAGGACCATATTAGAAGAAAGAGAATGAAATATGCAAAAAAGAATAGCATAAGCAAATATATGAAGACTATAAAACTATGATGTGTTTAGGGAATTACTAGTAAACCCAACTTGGCTGAAAGAGTAGGAATATGCAGTGACCAGAACAGAAGTTATTAAGGTACACATAATAATAAAAGGCCTTTTATGTTCTATTCAGGAACTTAGATTTTATCCAGTTGTGCTGGGGCATATTAGAAGTTTTTAATAAGGTATCAACAAAATCAGATTTGAATTCTAAAAAGATAACATAGGGAAGACAGATCACAGATTGAGAAAAACATCAGAAGATATAAAAATAACAAAGGTGAGAATTAATAAGGGCTGGACTTAAGAAAATGGACCGAGTAAGGGCAGTAAGTCTTAGATGTTTAGGAAGTACTTTTCAAACTACAGTCCATGGACTTGGGTTCTCCAAGAGCTTTTCAAGGTATCTTTCTATGAGGTCAAAGCGTTTTTCATAATAATACCAAGAGGTTTTTTAAATGTTATTTGACCTCTTTCTCTGAATGGATCTTTACACTGAAAGTGTTAAAGAAATGGTGGATAAAACTGCTGTCACTTTAATATAAATCAAAGCACGTGCACTAACTGTACTATTGGATTCTTCATCACCTCAGACTAGAAAAGTTTCATTCACGAGTGTCTATTCAGGGGCTAGAATATTCACACTGAGGAGTGCGGTAGTTAAGGAACTGGATCTCACATGGTTGACTCCAATATTTGAGTCCTGGACCTGGTGGCTTAAAAAATACACTGAGTGGGGGCCGGCAGGTGGTGTGGTTGTTAAGTATGCTGGACTCCCACATGGCCTTCTGTGGTTCTAGTCCTGGACCTGGCACTTGCTTTCTCACTTTCTCTCTCTCTCGCTCTTACTCTGTCCCTCTCTGATCAAATTAAAATGCATACATACATACATACATAAAGTTAAATAACATAATTTAAAAAAAAGAAAAGAAAAGAAAAATACACTGGATGAAGGTGGATGCAAGCCCAAAATCCCAAGAGAAGAGCAGAGGAGAAGCAATTGTGGCATGGCCATCTCCCAGGGGGCGATTTCTCACTTCTCGCCTCTCTGTCTCTGCCTCTCTGATGAATACATGCACCTTAAGGCCAAAATCTAAAACATGTAAAAAAAAAAAAAATCTCCACTGAAAAGGTAAAAATTATTGATTTTATTAATAACAATATAACTTATAACTTTTTTTTCAATGTCTGACACACTGGGAAGTTTGCATGAAGTATATCTGCTACAGCTAACACAACTATCATGAGAAAATAACCTGTGTAATTATTTGGATTGCAAGCACAACTAGTCACTCAAGACAACACAACTCCTCATGCTTTGACATAGGAGAAAGACTGCTTGCGGTTCTTGAGACCTGGTTAGTTAACATTTTCTCAAAAATGAATGAACAGACTCTGTCACTTTGAGTAAAACAATTAAAAGTTATTTGTTGTTGATATAATTCAAATTTTTAAGAAAAAATTAGAAATCTGGAAAACTAGACTAGAGGACCATGAGGTTGACAGCTCCCAGAACATGGGCTTTTCTTATAAAATTGTGGTGAGGCAAGACCCTGTCAAAGATCCTTTCTTCTACCCCCCAACCCAAGGAAACTTAAAAATAAAATAGGTGATGCTTTAACATACATGATTTTAAAAACTGCATGAAGTGTGCCAGTAATTGGAAGATCTATATAACTCAGTGAGTCAATATTTTCCAAATGACCAAAATGCAGAAAGTTACACATGAAAGACTTTAATGTAATATACAAAATGTTCATTGATATGATTATAATGAATCTTTAAAAAAATTATTTTTTTATTTAGAGATTTTGCTATAGGGCACATGCAACTCAGTGGAGAGACAGAAAGACAGAAAGTGAGAAATCACTCACCAGGGGGGTTGACCATTCTACAATCCTTCTCCTCCATTTTCCTCTAGGGATTTTTGGGTATGCAAGCACATGTGTCGAGCACGAGTTTTAAACCACTGGGTCTGGAACCTGAACCATGGTCAACTACGTGGGAGTCTAGCAATGTAAGCATTACTCCATCTGCTGATCCCTACAATTAATCTTTAAGACTTACGCCATGACTGGTCAAGTACTGAACTTAGTTATCAATTATCTGAAAATACTCTTTTTCAGTTGTATATTGACATAAGGCTGAAAATTCTGTTCTTTAATTCAAATGCTACACCACAATAAATTAAATGTAGAAGTACATTTGACAACTTACCTGTATTCTATTCAGTCAGGAATTAAATATATTTGTAAAATTGAAAAACAATGCTACTCTTAAATTTTTGTTGGGGAAAATATGTTAGTTACTTTGGATGAAAGTGTTATTTATATCAAAATATAATAGCTTCATTATATTATTTATAAATATCTTGAATTTTATTTTAATTTTTAATATGATAAACATTAATAGATATAACTTACACAAATAGGAGTTTAGTCTTTTATAATTATTGAGAATGTAAAGGGGTACTGAGAGCAATGTGTTAGAAAACTTCAGGTTTAGGAAGTAGGATCTACAAGCATTGCTGACTAAATTAGAAAGTGAAGATCAAAGAATAATTCAGGATGGCTCTAAGATGGTACCTGAAATAGGGAATAGAGGAATAGATACAGTAGGAGTAAAAATATTTTGTTCACTCTAACATAGTGAGTGACATTTTGCAAAAATGTAGAATTTAGTTTCAGGTTGAAAACAAGAGAATGCCATATCTGTGTCAATTTGAGCTAGGAGAGAAGATTGGCATAAACTTATTATCTGACTTAAATACCTCCTATGGTTAAAAAAATGATCTTCAAACAGAAATCTGTGGAATATCAATGCATTTAAGGCCTGAGATTCTGCATATAGTCATTTAAGCTGTACCCTACACCATGCCAGGGAAGGCCTTTTACATAGATCACAATGTAAAGGACAGACCCTAGAAGCACACAGTCCACACAACCAAATGTAGTGCCCCTGAAGAGGAAGACAAGATAGAGGATTAATCAGAAAGTGAGAACTGTCCTTCAAAAAAGGTGATATCATAGATTCAAGTTAAGGGAATTTCTTTAGGACATAGTTTTCAAAGAAGTCTTAAAGAGAAGTAAAACAAACTAGGTTTAAATAACTTACTTGAATCCTAAATGAATGTCAAGGAACGAACAGTAAGTACAACTTTTTTTTTTTTTTTTTTTTTTTGGGGAGAGGTTTTTGCTATAGGGCAAGCACATTCACCAGAAAGACAGAGA